AGTAATCTCACCAAGAAAAAACAGATCTCCACTGACCCCTCCAGATGGACTCATTGAGGGAAACGGGAATGGTGTCAGAGATTCTGGAGTCATCCAAGCCACCCCAGGAGAAGCCAGGGCTGGAGGTTAGTAGCACAGAGCCACTGGGTGCCATTTGGGGCAATATAGATCATTCCTGGCCTACAAGACACATTTGTGACAAATCAATCTGTGTCCTTAAGTACAATGATGTGTTTGCATTGGGCAGTTGGGAGGAAACCTAGGTACCTCAGGAGAATACTTTAGGTATCGTTTACCTGAGTATCTTTAGAGTGATGATGTTGTTCCCAACAGATTTCTGTAGCTCAAGAGAGGATCCTTGCTGTGGGGATGAGCTCCAGAAAGTATGATCTCCATTGCCAGAAGCCGGTGCTCTTTAGGGCAGTTTTCACTTTGATGGTTGCCACCTGTGGGACAGGTTTAGGAAAAAAACCTAAATTTTGTGCGTAGTTGTTCAGTGTGATATCTCAGTCACTCACATTTGCATGTGTGGTGTTAGAGGAATCTAGGGTATCTATTTCTATGTATTGTCCACTTATCCAGGTTTGTACAGAGATCCAGTCTTCACCCAGCAGTGGCTCAGTCCACCATGGAGTTCCTACATAGCTATTCAAGGGCGTAAGACCAAACACTCAGCAGTTAGATTGGCCATGCATATGGCTGTGTGATGGCCCCAGGCCAGGAAAACATTTTGGAAGGATATCCAGGTGCCGGTGGAAATCATGTAACAGCAAAGGAGAAGGCAACTTAAGCTGACAGTGAAAAGACAAAAAATTTATTAGAAATACATAGGGCGTCTCCCACCCTCTGGCATAATAAAACTGGTATTAACCCTGCCCTGCTACAATAATTTTGGTTTCCTTGGGAATCTTCTAGGAGGGCTGTACCAGGACTTCTGTCCAGTGTGGAAGGAGTTATAGACACTGCAGTGATAGGACTGGATGACACCATTCTGGTGTCACTTCAGTTCCCATTGGAATGGGGGTACTGCCTGCCTACTGCCATTGTGCCCCAGACCCTTCATTGAAAGGAAAATGGGGGTCAGATCCAGGGAGATGGTGCCCTCCTGCCTCAGGTGAAGAAGGATGCCAGTCCAGCGTGGTGGCACTTTCCACCCCAGGTCCCATGTCAGTGTTCCCTGCCCAGGCATTATGGGACCAGGGGACTGCAAAATCAGGGCATTCATGTGGAACTGAGTTAGGGCTTAATACAGTGTCTAATTTTTTCCATACCTGCATGCTTTGTACCAGATTATGTCTACCAGACTTTCATAAACTCTCTCCTCCCGTAGTAGAGGGCTCATGCAAGAACATACAGCTTCCATTAAAGCCACAGCCAAATTTGTCGACAAGGGGAATCCTGTCAAGAGCTCAATTTGTTCCTTTAAGATGCCATTTTTTCTCTCTATAAGTCCTGTTCCCTGTGGGTTCTAGGGCAGATGAAATAGCCATGTAATGCCCTCCTTTTCTGCTTAGTTTAAAATCAGGGAGCCTGTGAAATGTGTTCCTTAATCATTGATAATTATTCTGAAGTACGATACATTAATTGCAAGTGTTGCAGTCCCTGTATAGTCAAGGTCTGGTTTGCTTTTTTCACAGGGAAAAGCTTGCAAAACGTCACTCACATTGTCTACGCGTGTGAGCGCATATCAGTATCCCTTCTGTGAGGGAGTGCGCCAATATAATCTATTTGCCATGTGTCAGTGGCTCTCTCTCCTCTTTTTATGTTTTTAGTGGTCATTGGCACTTGCTGACGATGGGCCTGGCAACGAATAGGACAGTTTTGTATTGTCTTTTCTACTTTTGTCTGGACCCTGGTAAGCCAGCTTGTTGGGCTCATCTCCACATAGTATGCAGCCCCCTGTGACCTGTCTTCTGATATATGCAGTGTGCTGTGTCTGCTTCTTCAGAGGTGATCACTGACTAGGCCCAGGCCAGAATATTGTCTTATATATTTCCATTAGGGGGTGATGGTTTGAGCTGCTGTATGGAACACTGACTTCAGCCCTTGCTTGTTGCAGTTGGTCCCAAATGTCTGCCCGTATTTGTGTTCCCCACAATGCCTTTCATTTATGGACCATTGATCTTTTTTTCACTGCTGGATTCCTTTTGCTAATATTTATATTTTTTTCCCTCATAATTGTGAATGGGATTAATCTAGTTCAATTTTGCCTAGTCTCTGGCAGATTTTGATATTAATACTGCTCATTTGGAATACATTTGATAAGTTTTTAAAAGTGTTCTGGCAATTATTTAAGCTTTGGTAGAAATACCTTATGAAATCTTCCAGGTTTGGTTCTTGTTGGATGTTAGTTCTTTAAAAAGTTTATTTATTCTATGGAAATCAATCTGTCCAGATTTTATGTCTGTCAGTTTTGATAAATTGGTTTTCCTAGAAAAATACTCATTTTGTTTAGATTTCCAAACTTTTTTGCATAAAGTAGTAAAGCACCTTAGTTTCATGTTTCTTCACATTTCTGTTTTTGTAGATATCTCCTCTTTTCTTATTGTGTATATTTATGCTCTTCTCTTTTTTTGTTAGTTTACATAGTAGTTTCTACATTTTATTAATCGCTTTTGAAATACCAATCTCTTGAATTTAATTGACTTATTTTTCTCTTTTCTGATGGATTAATTGCTTATTTTCTCTTAATTTCTTTTGCATCCCTTTGGTTTATTTTGTTGTCTTTTTGTAACCTTTCAGTTGGATCCTTAATTAGAAAATCTATATTTTATATGCTTATGACTAAGAATTCCTCTTTGCACACTGCTGTAGCTCTTGTTGTACTTCTCTTTTGCAGTGTTTTGATTATCATCATTTTCCAGATATCCTCAAGCGTTTATATTTTCTTCTTGAATCAATAGTTATGCAGGAGAGAATTAAAAACATTTCAAATGGAGGACTTTTCTCCTTCTGATTATGTCATGACTTTTTTGTTTTATTGAATTATATTCAGAGAATGTCTTAACAGTTTCATTATAGGTACCATTACAGATGACATGCAGGAAGTTTATAGGTAGTGATCTCAGGATGAACACCTGTGAGGGAGTAAAGGCAGCAGCATTGGGCAGAAGGGAGAAGTTGGGCTGTGATGCAATCACAACAAAAGCTTTGACTGCTCCCATAGAACTAACATGGCCCTTCAGAGTTATCCTAAGGAGGTTAGGACTTTATACTCCCTCGAGAGACAAGTATCTGGTTGCAGCTTACCCTAATGAGGGGACGTGGCCTTGGTCCAAGCTGTTCCTTCCAGCTGAGGGCAGTTTCTGGAGAGGGGCTGAGAGTGACGGCTGTCAGAGAAGGCTGCTAGCCAATAACACTCCCAGCAACTGGAGAAATGCGAACTTCAGTCCTGGAAGGGGATCTGGGAGACACAGCATGGTGTTCAGTAGAGGTGAAGATTTGAGATGTTCTCTTTCTTGGTCTTCCTTGTACTTAGGGCAGGGGCATGTGTTCTGTTTGACTATCAAATACAACCTTCCTGCAATTTGAATCAAGGATAGGTGGTACAAAGAACTAGAAGCAGAGGAAAATCTCTTTAGTAGTGCTAGCCGTGGCAAAACGTCCAGTTTATGGGTTAGCAGTGGCAGCAAGCTAGCATAGGCATCCAGCATCCAGGGCAGGTAGTGTCAGTGGCACAAGCTGTGACACCCAATGTTCAGTGATGGTAACTTTGGTGGTCAGCTCCTGAGTTGGTTCTGTATGTTGTTTTGGCTGTGGGCCTCTCAGTCTAGTTCTCCAGGCCTCCCACCAATTTTTCAACTACTCAGCTCTGTCTCTGTCTTTTAAATCTCTGCTTCTGCCTGTAAATTATTATATAATATAAAATGGTTGAACACATTTTTACCAAGTTTGAAGAGGTATTTTGGATTGTATGACTTAATATTTGGAATATATGGCATATTAAAAAAAATGCACCTTCTCAGCGCTCTGAGAGACATTGTAGACACAGAAAACAGCCCGTTAAATCAGATATGAGATCCAAATCAAAAGCCACAGAGGCATAAGTTTTCATTACAGGTATGGTCTACATTTAGACAACTTTATGTATAGTCCAGAGTAAATGACAAATACAGAATTTTCAGCATTAAAATGACATTAATAGCATGCCGGGCAATTCTCGGAAGACTAGCATGAACATTTGTATAAATATAGACATAGACATAAAGTTCACTTTTTACACATGTTTATACAGACAAATTATAGGATAGTTGCAATATAATAATAGAATGTGAATAGGTGCAAAACATCAGAGTGAGAAATAACTCTATATCTTACTCTCATCAGTCTGTAATATGGACCCTATACCACATTCAGATTACTGTTTTCAATTGTTTATTTATCCTGACATACCATGCTCCCTCTTACCCACAAACCTTCATCATGTGTTTTGAATATTGTCATCATTCCTATGTAAAACACACCCATGTTCAGGACCCAGATTATGAAAGATGACCCTGTCATCTTTTTCCCGAAGCTGTATTTGATCTCCTAAGTCCTCACCAATATCCTCTCTCTTTGACCCCACATTGCAGCTATGATTCGAATCTTTCATTACATAGTAATTTTATTCTACAGTGTTTTTTTATGTACAACAATATGGTTACCTACTCAAGTCCACTCTGGGAGGAGAACAGTCCTGAAAAAATTCTCCATTTTGTGCTCCCTGTGGTATATTCACATATTTGTCTGAGCTGTATGTGATGTCTTAGTGATACAATCAAATATTTATTTCATGTTTTTATTGTGATTTTTAGGGACTTTATATATAAATAATGGTCCACATTAATAATATCTTAGGGAGTGTAAATTAATAATAAGATTATGTTACTCCTAGAGTCTGTAGTAAACTTAGGTTAGTAAAATCTAATTAGATATTTAGCAACAGCTTTGCAATTATGATGAGAATGAAAATAATATTAAAATGTGACTCCTGTTGAACTTCTTTCAGGCTGTATAAATCATTGGGAGAAGATTTTTCTTTGGCTTAGGGTCTTTTTTAAAGCCCTCTTAAGTTCATTGTTTCTTAAAGTGTAAATGAATGGATTCAACACAGGGGCTATGACCATAAAAATGACTGATGAGGCTGAGTCTTCTTCAGTAGAGTGATTGGATGAGGGGCTCATATAAACTCCTGTGATTGCTCCATAGAAAAGAATGACCAAGGCAAGATGAGATCCACAGGTGGAGAAAGCCTTGAGTTTTCCTTGGGCAGAAGGGACTTTCATCACAGCAGAAACAATGAGGATATAGGATACCACAATACACACTGAAGGTACCACAAAGATCAGCCCCACCGTAGCCAGAACACTCAGCTGATTAAGACTGGTGTCAGAACAGGACAGAGGGAAAAGAGAGTTGATATCACAGAAGAAATGGTGGATAACATTATCAGAGCAAAAGTGCAGATGGGCCATCATAAGAGTGTGCAAGAGAGGGTTCAAAATGGCAATGACCCAAGGTACAGCTATCAGAGACACACAGAGGTGTGGAGTCATAATGGTGGAGTAATGTAAAGGGTGACAGATGGCCACATAACGGTCATATGCCATCACTGTGAGAAGAAAATTGTCCATGTTAGCAAACATCATACAGAAATACATCTGAGCCAGGCAGCCAGGATAGGAGATGGTTTGAGTTTGAGTTTCGATGTTCAGTAGCATCTTTGGGACTGTGGCTGAAGGAAGGCAGAGGTCTACCAAGGACAGATTGGCAAGGAAGAAATACATCGGTGTCTGGAGGCAATGATCTGAGCCAATGGCCAGCAAGATGAGTAAGTTTCCAAACAGCCCTGCTAAATAGAGACACAGGAAAAATGCAAAGAGTAGCACCTGCTGTTGTGGCCAACTTGAGAAGCCCAGGAGGAGAAATTCAGAGACATTTGTTTGATTTTTCTTTTCCATTGCTTGACTATACCTGCATGAAGAACCAGAGAATGAAATATTTTTGCCAGTAAAAAAAATTCCCTTGTTATTTTTTATACATTCACCTAGTCTAGTCCCACTTATTAAATGTTCTTTCTTTAGGCCATCCTACCTTCTCTCTGATGTTGTCTCTCAAACTTCACTGAACCTTAGGTATGTTCTCTCTCACCAGTTGTCTTTGTATCTATCCCCTTACTGGAACCTCGCCTTATCCAAGATGTCTGTGCAATCTTTATATATCTTCCCATAGTAAGGAGAGATTCTTTTCCTACTTGTTGTCACCAACTCTTGCATGTTCTGCCTTGTATGTGGCTGTCTAACTGCCTCTGTGTTGAAATGCATTCATGAGTCTGACATACTAAATGACTTTATGTCGTACAACAAGATTTAAATGAATAATTTTTCCAAATATTTTTTCAACACTATATGAACCACCCTGCTTGAAAACCAGTCAGACATCTACCATTTAGGATTCATAAGATGAAGATAAATGATATTATTTAATATTCAAAAGAAAAATATGTTAATTTGCTTGACAAGTTTAAAAAGTTAAGCTTCCAAAAGTAGTTTACATGAACTGTGAGTAACATAGGAAAATATTTACAAAGAAGTTAAAAAGTTATATAACACCTGAAGTTACATAATGCATGTACATAAAATTAAGGAACACAGAGAAAAAGTTATGTCAAACAGGGAGGCAGACTTTTTTCCCTTTTAATATTTTTGTAATATATATATTTTTTATTATTTATTTATTTATTTATTTTTTGAGACAGAGTTTCGCTCTTGTTACCCCGGCTGGAGTGTAATGGCGCAATCTCGGCTCACCGCAGCCTCTGCCTCCTGGGTTCAGGCAATTCTTCTGCCTCAGCCTCCTGAGTATCTGGGATTACAGGCACACGCCACCATGCCCAGCTAATTTTTTGTATTTTTAGTAGAGATGAGGCTTCACCATATTGACCAGGATGGTCTCGATCTCTTAACCTCGTGATCCACCCGCCTCGGCCACCCAAAGTGCTGGGATTATAGGCGTTAGCCACCGTGCCCAGCCTATTTTTGTAATATTTTAACTATTAACTACAAATAAGGAGTTTGTGTATATAAGGTATTATTACTTTGAGTCTTGCATTTCTTGGAGTTACAGAAAATGAAAGTAATAGAAAACAGAGTTCTTGACCTGAGAATGTTGGAGTCATGTTGTAGAGGAAAAATATTGCCATAGAAAGTAATGAAGAAGACGTTTGTATACACAAAGGAGATAGTTTCAGAAGAATGGAGGACTCTGTAAGAGGGTGAAAAGATGCTGGAGAATGTGAACTCGGAAGTTAGCCTGCATTGAAACCAGACCTCATCACTTGTGGGCTGAGTGATCAAGTCAGATTCTCACTACCATCTCTTATCTGAATAATTGCAATGAATTTCTTTCTTTCTCTTTTTCTTTCTCTCTTTTTCTTTTTTTCTTTCTCTCTCTCTTTCTTTCTCTCTCTCTCTCTTTCCCTCCCTTCCTCCCTCCCCCCTCCCCCCTTCCCCTCTTCCCTCTTCCCTCCTTCCTTCCTTCCTTCCTTCCTTCCTTCCTTCCTTCCTTCCTTCC